TAGTATGCCTAAATGGTAGGTAAGTTTCCTTATCTTCTGGAACAATAAACCCTACCTATCTACGTCACAGGATGACGCCACCTCCATCTTTTCTCTCTATACGATTTCAAGTACATGATTTCTTTTCTCCAATTTCTTCTCACTACCTTAATCCCTCCATATGTTAGTATAAGCTGTGTATGTTGGCTAAGCCCTTTGAATCCTTCCTTTCTATTTAAATAAGACTTCATAGTTTTAGTCATATGTACCAATCTCATTTTAGAAAGAATAATGTATGATCCTTAATCAAGGTCTTCTTAGGTTCTGGCCTAAGATGTAATTAACCATGGGGGCTTGCACCCGTGGGAAATTGAATTCTATCATATAATAAACCCACTTCGAGTTGATATATCGAGTGGGAGAAACCTATTGTTTTGATCAGGTCATGTATATTACCACCCATCGAGGTGCGCTGGAAAGAGCCACCATCCTCAATGATTAGTCATATACAAGATATAATCTGCCCTTTCATTAGCCCATTTGCGAGGAGCGCTGAGACCTACAATCGTCTCTATCGATCGAGGTAGGTGCGGTTGTTTACCCCTCTATAATTTTCTAGTGTAGCGATGTCCTTTCGAAGGTCTACAGGTTTCTGGTGACCATGGTGGGACTAGTTTCTCTCTCCATCTTTGGATTATATATTATCCATTTTTTGTGCGTACTCTAGGATTGGTACTCCTTAGATTAGATCTATCCCACTCTTAGCTAGGGCCTTTCCTTAGTTAGGATTCCTTCCTCTTTGCTAGGGTTTCTCCCTATTCTACTTCTTTTCAGCTTTGTAGACCTTTCCATCCCTTATCCATCCTTATTCCTTCATTCTTTTATGATTTCAATTCTAACTAACTTTTCAAATTTCTTTTCTTAGCAGTAGTGCCATATCTTTGTTCGTACCTTTCATCACTTTTAGCTTCGGCTCGGATGCACGGGAGACTTCTCTTGAGTCCCTACTTGCTAGTCCCATAGTTGGAGGAATCACTTTTGGTTCTTTCACTGACTCGGTGTTCATCAGTCTTGGCGGACCCACCCCTGTTGAGGCTGTTGAATTCTCTCCTCCTCAGAAGAGAGGATGTGCAGCCATACATTCCTTTGGATGTCTAGTCACTCTACGGATAGCCCGGGCACCTGCTCGTCCTGTTCACATTCCTATGCAGCCAATGTGCCCGGTGAATAGGCAACCAGTACCTAGACCACTTTCTGTTCCCCCCACTCATTCTGCGGTTAGGCAGCCAGTGCCTACCGCACTTATTGCACAGGTTGCTCTGGCCCCTTAGCACCGGTAGCCTGCTGTTGTTACCCCCGTTGTTCCAGTGGAGGTACCTCGAGTTCGGGTTCCCCCTCCCACTTCCACTAGAAAGAGGGGTTCTCAGACCGAGGCTCATTGGCCTTCTTTCCATTAGGTTTCTGTGTTTGCTCTGCTCTCTCACTCTGAGATCGCCGGGTAGACCCTGAACCTTCTTGTTATTCCTATTCCCCCTTCCACCCAGGTAGTGGATTTAGATGTTCCATCCTCTTCTACCTCCGGCTTTGGGAGAAGGGCCAAGAGGAACATAAATAGGAGACTCTATTTAGCTGCATCTGAGGCAGATAGGCAGCAGATGGCAGAGGCAGTGGCTCAGTAGGAGTATGTTCAGAGGAGAGTGGCTCCTAAGCAGTGGAGGCCATGACCAGCTGTAGTCACACCTACTCCTGAGGTAGTAGTTATACTTGAGATAGAGGCTATCCAGGGAGGACACTTCTCTCCACTGACATAGTGGCGAAAAGGAGGACATTACCCGTATTGCAACCACCCCTCTGATCACTCCTACTCTACCCCGGGCTAGGGTCCTAAGAGATGTTGTTGTTCGAGCCCTCTCTCAGATGATTCAGAGCATCATCCGCCTAGTATATGGTAGAGGGCCTGTTAGTCGAGAGAGGTTACTCTGGCAGATTTCTTAGGCTACTCTTCAGTTATAGAGATAGACTGTAAGATAGAGGTATAGGTGGTAAAGAGGATAGCCACCTCGACAGTTAGTTGATATAGCTCCGATTGTTAGACTGCCGGCAATCACTCCTATTGTTGGATGACACCCACATCATTACGTATAAAGATAATAGTAGGAGCCTGTTCAACCCCAGATGAGTTCAGTTGTTGTAGCCCTTTAGTAGCTAGTTACCCATATGAAGCCCGCCATAGTAGGTAGGTTTGGAGACGTTGATAGGTGGACACCTCTGTCAGGATAGTATAGTCAGTTAAGTTAGTATAGTCAGTTGAGACAGTACAGTCAGTTGAGGGAGTATAGTCAGTCGAGGAAATTCAGCCAGTGGATACAATGGATCAAATGGATATAGTAGTTCCTTTCGGGTCTGAGTTAGTCCCAAGGACTTGTGATATGGAAATAGTAGCTCCTCCCAATGGCCCTCATAGGGTTACTTCCCCTATGAGTAGTTGAGGAAGCTTTAGCTCCTAGCACTCATAATAGTTGAGACAGCTTTAGCACCGAGCCCTTATAGGGTTACCTTCCCTATGTGTCCCTATATAGAGGCACTCTATCGAATCTTCTCTAAGGATGAAAAACTAGGAGATGAGTCAGACGAGGACATACCAGTACACTTGGTCTATGTGATTACATGTCGAGGTCACTCGGACGAGCAAAGAGAGCCCGAGGATAAGGGTGAGCAGGGAGACCTCGAGGTAGAAGGATCTTTGATATCAGTAGCTACAGATGCCATAGTCTTGCACTTACAAACCCAGATGGCTGAGATGGCCAAGGCCATGGCAGCGATGACTGCCCAGTTGATAGCTTTGGGGGCTACACCCAGATGATGGGCATAGGTACGGTACCCCTACGATGCCTAGACATGAGCCAGTAGTACTGCTAGTAGCACTAGACCCTCTAAGAGTGGATATGATCCATAACACAGTTCCTACATCACCTATAATAGTCCAGAATTATCCAGTACAATTATCAGCAAGTCATATTTAGGATTTAATAGCTCAAAAAGTAGAGCAGACGATTTCTTTCAGGAAGACTAGAGAGGTTATTAATAGAGGGCATCCTTATCCTGTTGAGTGCGACTAGGAGCCCTACCTTCCTAGTTTCATTCCCCCATATTTCTAAGTTTTCAGTGGGTTTGGGAACCCAAGACAGCATGTGGCTCAGTATTAGGTCATATATTGTAACATAGGGGGAATGATGCTCTGATATTGAGGTTATTTGTTAGTAGTTTGGTTGGGATGACATTTTCTTGGTACTTTGACCTCCCCAATAACTCAGTTCGGACCTTTGCAGAGTTAGAGAAGCTATTTATACAGAGATTTGTTAGTGCAGAGCACCGGGTCACAGTAGGAGAGTTAGTGGTTACTTGGTAACATCCTAGAGAGTCACTACAAGATTACATAGTCAGATAGAGTAATCTTAGCCTATAGTGTGAGCCCTAGTTATAGGAGCAACATGCAGTAGAGATTTTGTTGAAGAATATAGATTTCCCTGTAGCATCTTACCTGAAAGGTTTCAGTATAAGAACCTTCCAAAAATTACTAACTAAGATGATCAGTTTACATGATAACATACCCAATGCAGTCCATCTTAAGGTTGAGAGTTAACCTTCGTGTAGACCTCAGCTGTAGGAGTCTTTAGGGGTACCACTGTGATGCCCGAGGAAAATCCAAATCAGAGAGGAACAGTAAGGGAACGAGGTCTCACAACCACCTCCTAGGAAAGGGGAGGTACACAGTACCTATCGGCCACCAGATAAGGGAAAAAAGCCTGTAAGCAGTTCACCACAACCACGACCGTAGGTTCAGCAGTCTAGACCCCCTTATAATACCTAGAGAGTCAGCCATCTTTACAGAAGAGACTTAACAAAGAATATCCCATTAAAAGAGAAAGCATAAGGAAGATATTTAAATTTCTTATTAAGAAAAATATCTTGGCATTCCCATTTAATAAGAAGGCAGTTGAAGAAGGGAAAACAGAACATTCAATATATTGCCCCTTTTACAGACATATTGGGTATACACTTGAAGATTATTTTATGTTCAAGGATAAGGTAGAGATCCTTATAGCCATTGGGAAGATACATCTCAAGGACAGTGATCTGGTACAGCCTCTAGGTAAGGCTACTCAAATAGTGTATATGATTTCAGACTCCACCCACAGTGACAGTTAGAGTTACAGTTAGGGCAATAGTAGCAGGTCATCCCATAATTCTGAGAAAGAGTGTCAGCTAGCACTCTCTAAAAGACCTAGCAGATGATTAAGCAAGCTGTACAAAGTTTAGAGGCAGTTGAGAGGAGGCTTTTCCAGGCCAAGTCGATAGTTGTCGCTCCAGTTTCATTGCTAGCACCCATTTCTTCTTTTCCTTCTTCTGTTGTAGTGCCAGATGAACACATTTCTTTTTTTGCTGTTATTTATACTAGAAAAATATAAAAAGAGAAAAGATTGTTGTAACCTTAGAAGGGAAGTTAGGCCCCCTTCCAGCACATACGCTGAAGGGCTTTGTTCTCCCTTTTATTGATGATTAATCAATAAAAAAAAGAGGATGATTTTGTGTTATTTTTATTCTCTTGCTTCTTCTAGCTCCACTATCTTTATAGTGATGACTCATGAAAGA